TACCGTTTGCGAGTTGGGCAGCGTGAACACGATACCGCCCCAGTTCGGCGTAGACCGCGCGCGCCGCGCAGCGCGCTCCGTGTTTGCAGACCGCCCTGGCGGACTCGTTTACACTTCCAAGCTCAAGCCAGGCGCCGCAGGCCATAAAGAGGAGCGCAGATTAAAATGGCGCCGCAGGCTCCCCGGGCCGTCCGCGCACAGAACCTTTATCTGAAACAAAACAAAAAAATCGATGAGACACCACGGGCTGGGGGGGGCTGCGATCTCCATCTCTCCAGTACTCTCCCATCCACCAGCGTCGCTACATCTTGGGCCGGATCCAGTCAGATCTCCGATCTCCATCTTCAATCTCCAATCTCCAACGTCGTCATCTTAGGCCGGATTCAGTCAGATCTCCGATCTCCATCTCCAATCTCCAATCTCCAATATCTCGATTCGGGGGCCCGGAGGAGGAGAGGGGCTCAAACCTTCAAGGAGATGCGCTATGGATTCATTCACAATGCAAAAGGATCTCCCCCCTCTTTTCGCGCCATTTTGCAATCTCCAGTCGGCCCACACGATCTCTAGGCGCCTTTGGCGCGAAGACAGAATCTCCACCTCTGTCGCAAGATCACAAGCGACTGCACGCACCAACTCGACATCTCAGACTCCTCTCGACACGAGCATCTACACTGGAGAGGATTTGCCTGAACCAGTTCTTCAATCTACTGCTTCTCTTGGCAGGAGATTTGCCACTTAAGAGATCTCTAAAAGGCATCTACGATCTACAGTCCAAGGATCTTCCGATGTTGCGAGAGATTTCCATGTACCTCAAGGTATGTCTGAAGAGACTGCCGACCGCGCGCGCCGGACGGGGGCCGGGGGGCGGGGTCGCGGGGACGCCGGTCGCCCGCGCGCCCGGGGCGGCGTTCTCCCACCACAGGAGTTTTACCCTCCCGGCGTGAGGATCGGCGCACGGCGGAACGGCGCGGGGAGGTGGTCTTGAATTCGCCGCGCAGCATATCGCCCCCACAGGAGTCAGGCTAGGACGTAGGAAGGAGTCAGCCGACCCCGGGCTCCCCCACCGGCCACCGCCCCGGCCCGCGGCTCTCTCCCGATTGCGGTCTCCCACACCCACAAGCAATCTTTTGCTTTCGCACCCCCTCCTTGCGTGGTGTCCCCCGCTACGGCTTTATGTGTCGCCGTCATCGGGGCATGCTATCCTGTCTAGGCACAGGGCAAATGAGGGGGGCGGCGGGGGCAGTCTCTCTGAGAGTGTGTGTGTGTAGTGTGTGCTGACTGCGGGTCGGTGCGGTGTGAGTGTGTGTGACTGTGTCGGCATGGTGTGTGGCCGTTCCTGGTTCTCTGGACTCTGCGCCATTTGGTCTCTCTAGTCTCGGAGGGGGGTTTGAAATCAAGAATACTTTTGCTATACACCCTCCACCATGGCTGGCACGCTGGAACAGCCCGGAGTCGACAGCGGCACATGGAGCGGCGGCGGCGCCGCTGCCCCTGGCCCCGCCCCGGCGAGGCTGCCGCCAGGAAGCGGCCCGACCTGCAGTGGCTCGAGCGCGTGCGGCGCTTGTGACGCCCGCTTGGCCGAACCAAAAGGCGGCGAGAAGCCGGCCGAGGGAGGTCGGCGCGTCAAACCCTCGAGCGGCCCGCTCAGCCCCAGCGCACCCTCGTGCAGCATCGACCCACCGATCGATCCGCCAAGGGACCCGCCCAGGCCGGTTGCGCCCGCCAGCTGCGAGTCTCGCTCTGCCAGTTTCACCTTGAGGGCGGCGATCTCGCGCGCGTTGGAGCGCGCCATCTCGGTCATCTCCTCCTCAATGGCGGCCGAGCGCCGCTCCGCGCGCTCCGCACGCATCAGCAGCTTGACCTGCTCCTCGCTCGCAAAGGCCGGCGCATCCTGCACGGCGTCCTTGATCGAGTCGCGCTGCCGCTCCGCCTCGGCTTTCGCGGTGGTTGCGTCAGCCTGAGCCTTGTCGAGCTGAGACCTCAGGCCGCCCAGCTCGGTCTCCTGCGCCTTTGCGCGGCGGACGTCCTTCATCGCCGCCTCGAGCAGCCCCTCCAGCTTTTGGATGATGAGCTCCTGCTGCTGCACCGTCTTCCGGTACTTGCCCACACGCCGTTGGTCGTCGCTACGCTTGGCGGCGATTCCTCTCCGCTCCTCCTGCAGCTGCTGTACGACGTGGGCTTGCTGCGTGTGCGCCGCCTTGAGCTGCCCGTACGCCGCCTGCAGCCCCTCCTGCGAGCTCAGCGCAGCCCCTAGCCCGTGAAGCTTCTCCTCGGTCGCCTCGAGCCGCCTCCGGTCCGCGCGGTAGGCGGCGGCGAGCATGCGGTGCCGGCGCTGCAACTCGGCGAGGTCGATGTGATCGACGTTGGTCGCATCATTGGCCAGGCGCTCCATGTACCGCTCGCGCTCCACCACCTGCGCCCTCACCGCCTCCAGCTCCGATTGGAGCCGCGCGGTGATGGCGCGCTGCTCGAAAATCTCGTGCTGCTGCGTCGCAATCTTGGAGGACTGGACTCCCGCCTCGCGATGCAGACGATCTATGAGTGCCTGCTTGCGCGACTCGTCCATCGCCGCTGGGGCGGGCGGCGCTAGAACGGCCGGCACAGGCGGTGCTGCGATTGCTCCTGCCGCGGGCTGAGCATCAGCCGGTGCTCCCGCGTCGTGCTCGCTCGTCTCTGCCGGCGACGGCGACTGGGGCGAGGCGGGCTTGGCCGCCAACACATCTGCCTCGTTGGAGGGTTGCTGGTCGGTGGACACCGCCTCACTACGATCTGCAGAGGCTTTGGGCGGCCCCGGCGGTGCTGATGCCAGTGCCGCGGCTGCAGGCAACTCCGGCCCCGAGGCCGCGATTTGCTCGTCCGCACGCTCGTCTTGGGGAGGCGGCGGCGGCTCGGGCGCCACCTCTGCGGCAGAGTCGAGCTCCGGCGTCGCCTCGTCGGCAGCAGCTGCCGCAGGGGCCGCCTCGGCTTCCGGCATGAAACGAAAACGGTCGGCCAACTCTCTTCCCACGCCGGGAATTCTTTGTCTTCCTCTCGACAGATCTGAGTGATGTGTACGCCCACTCAGGATGTGTGGCAGCCCGCTGGCTGTGTGTCTTGTGAGCTTGTTTGTGTCTGTGTGTCGCTCGTGCGTGTCGTCATCATCTGTCTTGCGTCCACCCATACCGCGTTGGTGTCCAGTCCGAGCCTGACTGTTCTTCACCTTACTACATACATACAGATCTCGATCATCGGGCTGCGATTGCTGTCGGCTAAAGCCGTAGCCGCTCCTCGCTGCTCGGTGCGAATCAATGCCCCACCCCCCCTGCGCGCGGGCCTTCTAGGCCCGCGGGTAGAGGGGTAGTCTTCCCCCATTCCCAGGGCCTCCAGGGCTCGCACCTCAATCAACCTCTCACAGACCAGCGCACAGCGCCAGAGGAGTATTTTCTTCTCAACAACAAGGCTGGGAACTGGCTGGCGAGGTACTTCCAGCCTGCTGTGGGAACAGCTGACGCAGTCTCGCGCTCTCGCCCCAGCACTCGGCCAGACAAAAACCCCGAGAGGCGTGGGAGTAGGATTCCTACCTCGCCACAGCTGCGAACAGAATTCTCACCGAGCCAGCCGTGTGTGCATTTTTGTTGCTTGGCCGGCCCTGATGACGGGGTAGGTAGGGTAGGTCTGGGCCCTCCCGTCGGGTTTTTCCCTCTCTTCACGCTGGAATTTTCACAGCAGAAAAAGAAATTTTCCGCGGAAATCACGATGTCAACCCTCCCCAAATGGGTGATCTGATGCTTGTAGGGCTTGAGAGTGGCCTGCCATGTCACAAGAAGGACTGTGGTTGCAGGAGAGTACCACCAAACCATCAATCACTCTAGTTGGTAATAGTACCCCACCTTCACCCGTCCAATGATTTCTTTTTTAGTTTCCCATAAGTAAGGTAGGTAGGTAGGTAGGTAGGTAGGGGCAGGGCAGGGGCCGGCCAGGTTTTTGCAGAATTTCATCATCCGGCCGAATAAGCAAAAAACGCTCCTCATCGCAAACCCTGTCAGCAGAGTCCTCCTACGGGAATGTATCAGCCTCATCGACTCCTCCTTATCAGCTGGTCGCTTCGCTCTCGCTCGCCTTGTCCGGCGCCGCCGCGCGGCCGGCCACGGCTGCGCCCGGCCTCGTCTCCACGGTCTCAGACGGCCTCATGGCGCCTACTGACGCCGACGAGACGGAGCGCGTCGGATTCGTGCTGCAGAAACTTTCAATCTCGCCGACGCTTTATGAGGCACCGAATCGACCAGAGCCAGCAGCAGAGCACTCCTCGCCTGGCTCGGTCGGGTCAGCGCCCGACTGCGATCGACTGGCCTCCAGTTCGAACCCAGGTGGGCCTGCTGCCGGCCGCGATGGCTCGCCAGAGCTGCCGGGCTTGCCCAGCCTCGCTGGCGCCTTTGGCGAGGCTGGGGTGGCTGCTGGGCATGACGACATCGCAGCAATGACCTCCACGCTGCGGAACATCCGACTGGGGCTCGCACAGGAAGCCGCAGCGACCCGCGTTCAGCGGGCGATGCGCGCGTTCCTGCTGCGCAAGGGCACCATCATCATCACGATCCTCATCACCAAGATACAGGCCGCTGCGCGCGGCCTCAACACTCGCACTTCTCTGAACAACTTCTTCAAGGCCTGCCCGCCCAGCGGGCGCACCGCCGACCTCTTCCTCAGCCGCGTCTACGGTGGCCACGAGGGCGGGCGGCGGCGCGGCGGCGGCTACGTCGTCGATTTCATCTACTGTTTGCGCTCGACCCGTCTTCCTCTCTCTCTTCCGGAAGCGCTGGCCCGATTCCCTCTCGAATTATACAACCCTCACGACACAGTGCGCGACTGCCACGGAACCAACGGGTTCTGCAACCAACACGAGGTCAACGGAGAGCAGCTGAGCCTGCCTCCGCCCTCGTCCCCCTTCACCTCCGGTGAGTCGCCCTGCCCCAGTCGTCCAGAGCACGACCTCTGGCGAGTCAGCCGGTCACTTGATGACGACCTGAAGAGCAAGAAGAAGACAAGGCAAAACGACAAGAAGCGCGCCAAGGCCAAAGCAGCGGCTATCGCCGCTGCAGCGGCCGAGGAGGCTGCTGCAAAGGCGGCTGCTCAGGCGGCCGCTCAGGCCGCTCAGGCGGCCGCTCTCGGACGGTACAGGTTGGTCAACGCTTGGTTCTACCCCCGCGGCGACTGGTACACCTTCTACTGGGATGGCAGCTCGGCCGACAAGGTCGCAAGGCGCGCTACCTACCCGACGCTCGAGCACGACGACCACGACCCCGGCCCCCTCGCAGAGCGCATCAGGCGCGACAAGCGCGAGGCGTCCCACCGCTCCTCCGACGACTCCTCCTCCGACCGCGACTCGTGCGGCACCGGCTCCACTAGCGAGGCGAATGACATATTCGACACCCTCGAAGACCATCTCGGCTACGGTTCCGACTCCGGCTCCGGCTGGTAGTCGACAAGCTGCCGAGCGCAAATCACTCTGTGTGACACATTTCTTGTTGGCTTCTAAAAATCTCTCTCTCGTAAGAGCCACATACACTGAGAGCTCGCTTCCGAGCTCTGACGCCGCGCGTAGGGCCCTTAGGGGCCTAGAGAACACAACCCCCCACTCTCTTTTCTCCCAGTAAGCTAAAAGTACGTACTGAAAAAATGCGCGCGCGAGCTACACGGGATTTTTTTTTTTAGCGGCGATTTGCTGCTCGGCTCAGACATCTAGACGTCAGACATGCGCATCTCGCCGGACGCCACCCGGCGTGCGATCCTCCTTCCGTTTGCGGCTGCTCTCATCTCCACCAGCGTGCCCGGCGCGGCGCTCGCGGGAGAGCGAGGCACTGCTCAGACGGTCGGCTTGGACACCGGCTCTCTCATCATCGACCCGAGGGCGCTCAATGCCGAGCGTGGCCTGATCTGGGGCGGCCGCGAGCGCTGCGACCCAACGGACGTAGCATGCACACAGGGCGGCGAGCTCATCACCGCTGCTGGCGAGCTGCCACCGCCGAAGCGACCAGTCGGGTATGAGGTGACGGACCGACTGAAGATGTCCTTCGTCGTCGCCGGCGAGCCGGCAGGCGACGTCGTCGTCGCTCTGTGGCGGCCCGCTGCTCCGACCGCCACGGACGCCTTTGTGCGGCTCGGCCGCGGGATGCTTACGACCGGCGAAAACGAGGAGCCGGCCTCGCTCGAGCGGAGCACAGCGGTGCGGATCCTACGCAACGAGGCAGTTGTGCTCGGCGCGCTGCGCAAGCCCGGCGGCTCGACGCTGCTCGTCGCGGGACAGACGCGCCCTCAGCGCGTGCCGGTGGCGCCGCCAAAGTACGACGACGACAACAACCTCTCGCACGACGCGGCGGGCTGGCTGTCGGTGAGACGCGGCGGAGGTAGCTTCGAGTTTGTGCTCACGCCGCGCGCCAACCCGGCCCTCGACCGCGAGTGGCTCATCATCGGGCAGGTTGAGGAGGGCATGGGCCTCGTGGAGCGTCTGAACACGCTGCCAACCAACAACTACGACAGGGCTCCGCTCGCCACGGTGCAGTTGAGGTCAGTGACCGTGCTTTGACCTCAGGGACTACATGTACGTACATCGAGCCCATAGAGCATAGTCATGAAACCCGCGACTCACATGGATGGTGCATATGCGATGGAGAGAGACCTGCTGGGAGCGTCTGATCTTTGTGTGTGTGCAAAAAAGCTAAGGCATAACATTAACAATGGCCCACCCGACCTCGTGGCTCGTGGTCGTGCGCACACCAGTCACAAGGGGGTTGCCTAACGTTAATTTGGGGCCTAAAACAGTTGCGCTATTGTTGGCTGAAATCCTCAACGTTCTACGTTGTTCAAAAGTGTTCACCCCAGCGCCCATGCTGTTAAACTGTTTGTTAGCTTACTGTTGTACTGTTGTTCAGCGGCCAGCAAGCAGAAAATGGCAAAAACTCCGGGTAAAACCCGAAAATACCTGGGGCTTCCGGGTATTTTCGGGTATTACCCGCACTGGACACTAGAGATCGTCGTGGGTCACTGGTAGCAGGTAGGCCTTCCTTATTGTTGTTCAGTCGGCCTAACGTTAGCTACTGTTGCGGTTGCGGCCGGTTGGCCGGGAGAGCCCCACTGTTGTTCTGTTGTTACCACCTTCGTACTCTGTTAACACTAGCACATCACTGTTCAGCTCCTAACGTTAGGCAACCCTAGCACACACCCGCGCACAGCGCGCGCCCGCCGGGGGGCCGCCGCCCCCTGGCTAGCCCCCTCTTTGTGACCCACGTGTCCCTTATAGTGTTCGTTTGGCGTTTTACGGTTTTAGAGGGGATTCCCGGAGCAACTCCCTGTTGGGGTTTTAAATAACTAAATAAAAACGGACACCTCTCTCTCTCTACTGTGAGATGGGGGTAAAAAGGAACAGGTACGCGCAGGTACCCCGCCCGTGCGATCTCTTTTTGTGCAGGGTTCCGTGCTTTATTGTTGGTTTTGCCTTTATGGCGAGACATGTATTTTCCTACACTGTATGCTGTATCATACATTTCACAAGGAACGGCAGACGATCCCACATTGTCCCGGCTTCACGCCGGCGAGGTCTCGCATCGACCGGCAGCGCGCCGTCCGGGTTGCTCTCTCGACTTCTCTCTCGGCTCGCCCGCGGGGCCGCGGCTCGAGGGCTGTTCGGGCTTTAGCCCGGGGAGTGGGTCACTCAGCAGCGAGCGGCGCGAACACCTGCAGCTCCGAGCGCGACCGCACGAAGCGGGCGTGCGCGCGCGTCTCGTCGACCGGCGATGGCCACTCGACGTCCACGTCGTGGCCTGACGACTTGAAGGTATACTGCTTCTCCGAGATCATCGAGGCGGGCTGCTCGTGCACGAGGGTCGACACGCCCGGGAGGGGGATGCAGAGCTTGTAGTACTCGTCGCCCTCAAACTTGGAGCTGTCTCGATGCCGTGAGGTGGAGTGGCACAGCGCCGGCTCGGAGCTGCCTGCCTCATCGCCGCCCGCACCCTCGCCCGCACCGCCCTCTCCCGCACCGCCGGCGCTCATGCCGGCAGCGGCCGCGGCGAGACCGTCCGCCTTCCTCTCGTCGGAGGAGGCGGCGGCCTCTCCGCCGCTCACCGCACCGCTGCCCGCCTCCTCTGCCGCCTCCGAAGCGGAAGGCTGGGGCGAGGCCGGGGGCGCGGGCGCGTCGGCGTCGGTTGAGCTGGAGGCGGCGAGAGCGGCGGAGGAGGAGGCTGCCGAGGCGCCTGCGTCTGCGTCCGCGTCTGCGTCTGGGTCGGCGTGCTGGGCGGGCTCGGCGGGGAGGCGGCGGTAGAAGAGCATGTAGGCGGTACC